TGTAGTACGAGCGACGCCGGGATTTAGTCTAGACCTACTATCACACGTACACGAATACGTTATATTTTACACGCGGCCGCTATAAAGTGTATAACAAATGTCCCTAATATAGTGAACATTTGTGTACATTTCTCGGTCGGTTCGTATATCAATTTTTAACACCTTAGAACTATGTTCATTGGGGTGGTAGAGGGGTGGCCAAAATATTAAATACCTCATGAAAATATTCGTTATACTAAAAACGAAAAATGGTTTCGGGGAGGAGTTAGACAGGTGTAAATGTTTCAAAGCTCAAACACGCCACTATTGTAAAAATTCCGTAATCTAAACATGTAGACATAAACTGATAAAACATAATTAGCCGAGTAGACTGGTGATCGGACCGAATTTATTCGGTATCAATATTGCAAAAATATTAGGTGTACGTCTTATAAAGATAAAAAAAAAAAAAAATTATAAATTATTATACTATAATATATACTTTTTATATTTTGTATGACGTGCGAAAAAGCGATTGAAACCACTAAGAATAACGGCAAATACAAAAGGTTTCCAGTTGACCGTAATATTATTGTTATTGTAAGATTCGTTTATTATTTTGCCTACTCCGAGTGCCGTGAACGGAAAAATCTTAAATAACTCGCGTAAATTAAAATGTAATTGATATAATTATAATATCATTTACAAATTGAGAACTCCGTTACGGCGAGTTATCGATTAACTAAATGCAACCAAATGCATGGTAAATAGATAAAAATGCATATAGATTTAAAACTGATAATAAAATACTATGATCAAAATTAATGCAAGCAAAATGTCAGAAACAGGTCTAAGAAGTAATAAAATGGAATACGAAGAGCAAGGAACCACTAGAATTTCCAATACAGAGATGGATGGATAGAGAATAATATAATGATCCAAACTTGTTGAAAATAACCATAATCTTACTAATACTATAAATACAGAAGTTTGTTGGGATTAATGGATGTACATATTTTGTCACCACTTCTCGGCCGAGCTATTGCACGGGTTGAGCTGAAACTTAGATGTACATAGATTAAATTCTAGACCAGGAATAACATAAAAGCTACTTCCTCCCCTCGGCATTCAAACGCTATAGAGGGGGCGAGGGTGGGATAATACAGGATTATTGGTATTTTTAGTAAGAAAATCTAATAATTTTTGTCGGTTTATGAGTTACTTACGGATGAAACGGACAAAAACGATAAAATAAATAACTAATACGGTAATCCGTGGAAGGGCTGTAATAGTTGTCGTGACGATGCGCAACGGTCACCATACAGAAAATGGTTACTTACTTCGTTGTTGCAGGCTTGTTAGTAAGCGGATTGAAATTTCATTTAAAGATGTGGCACTGAAGCATTAAAACGGGAAAACACGTTTTGTTTTTTTTGTACATATTCGTTCGCAAAATACTGACGAGGGTAAAGCCGTGCGATATAATGACGGATATCAGTGGATGGTGTGGCGATAGGTATGATTGGCATATATTATACTAAATCAACGGAAGAACAAACTTTTTCAGATTCTAAGTGTAGCGAACAGTGTATTGGTTTTACAAAAATGTTTATTTTTTTTTTATTGGAAAGCTTACTTCGATGTATACGATGTAGACCCTTATCTGAAAGGGAATTTTCTTGAGGTGGTACTTTAGGGAGGCCATTATTTTATTTTCCCGCCAGTTTTCTCAATAAAAGGAAAAAAGTGAGAAACAATGGGAAAATATACGAAATATATTACGATTTTTTTTTTCTTTGCACAACTTTGTCACCAGAAATTTTGCTCCGAATTGCAATTAAAGCATAATAACACATTTTCTAGAAAGAAATCTGTAGGAATCCTAGACTAGGAAGCTACATTAAGGAGATAATTTTTCAATTTTCTCAAAAGTTTTCCCAGCGAATCTGAAAATCTGGAAAAAATATGGGAAAATCGGAAAAAAACGTAGAAAAAACGGGAAAATCGGTACACTGTTTAGCAAATATTATCAAAGAAAATATATAATGCTTATTTATTGATTTCACCATAATATGACATATATTATTGACAAAGCAACACTATCAACCGAACTCCGTTTAAAATCGGTTTTTCGTTAGCAATGGTTTATCATTGCTCACAGATATAAACTAATTGAAGTATGTCCGTCTTTTTTTTATTGTTTGGAATAACGATCGATGTATGCATATCGATGTACTAGCATAAATTACGTATCGTAAATACAAATTATTCATGTTCGAAATCTGTATGTAAGTTTCGGTGTATTGCTACGTGTAACGAGATAAGTTTACCGTGTTAATAAATCATTGACAGAGTTACATTTAATAATAATAATAATATTACACCGCTATTAGAACACATACAAATGTTCGGTATTTAACGAGAAACTCGTTTTTATTATGCACATTGCACACGATAATAAAAATACTATTACTTATAGAAAATACGTGTTTGAAACACAATAATTCATATTTCATTTTTAAATAAATTTTAACGATCGACTTTTGACCTGAATTACGCGTAATCGACGTATATACATAATAGTACTGTATAGTTAAGTTTATTACAATATGATTTGTGGTAGCGCCGTCATAATAATATTATATTTTATTGTCTTATCTTGATATTGACTAGCTATCCGGTTGATTTATTCGAGTTTTTATTATAGAGTGAGCAAACTGGATCCGTTCGATTCAATACCGTTTAGCTCGATCCAGTATGGATTGTTCACATACGGAGTTCAGTTCATCGTGCATCAACTATGTATGGAAAGTTGAAAATTTTACAATTTGTTTAACAATAAGTAAGTAGATGTTTTTATATTTATGTTCAATCTATTAAAAAAAAAAAAATGTGTTACCTATAATTGTAATACGCTTAAAAATAAAATAATATTGGCGCAGGGCAACGTTGAGGATTGCCGGTTACAATATTACATTCTCTAATCTCAAATAATTGTACATTATTGTCTCAACAGCCAACGTCGACAGCGACAGAGAAACGTTACATTTTGTTCCACAAGACATTTGTACCAACAAACTTTCGTTCCGAAAAATGTTTATCATGATGTCATGTACATGTTGACGCTTGATCAGTTATACTTTTTGATCATGACGATTGCGTACAAATTGTACAATAATGTGTATGTAACGTACGGTTATAATTATCTGTATAGTTACTATTATAGTTGTTACAATATATACACAGGCACGGCCAATGGAGAGGTTAGGCCCCTTGTGTCCCACCGTAAGCACGTCACTGGACATCGGAACCCAAGTAGCAAACCAAGCACCAAACTGTTTACCGAAAACCGTGTTGCCAAAACACGGAACCGGATCCCATTAACGGACATTTTGATCGTACGGCATTAAGAAAAATGTAAATAAAAACAGAGATAATTTAAAATCGAAAAAATCGTGTTACGTTAAATCTACGAAATGTCAAAAACGATATTAATCGCCTTAATACAAATTTTTTAATACGACCGCGGCGCAATAACATTATAATATTGAATAAGGTAAATCGATAATGCACCGTATACGTACAAATACAATTAGCATTAATGCGTTCAGCACTTTAAATTATGTACACTTATAAAATGATAAGTGTTCAAATACGATCTGACCTTATAAATATTATTATTACTTTATATACAACTGCTGCTGCGGTTAATCGTTCGGCTGCAGTTTGATATTATGCTGTACATAATATTATAATGCGTTGCACAGGTACCCGCATAAATTGTTATGATTTATCCGCGTGAATAAATTTACCATTGGGATTTCAGTTGCCGCAGTTATTTTTAAGTTTTAACGAAGTACATACAATACGTATAATATACAGTTTATTAACTTCGTCCGTCAACTGTGCGGTGCGCTGAGGTGTGTGAAACGGCTGGTACCTATAACCGAACCTATAACCCGATCGATAAAAGCGGTCGTGCAGTCACATAAAACACGTGTGCGGCGCGATGCGAAACGAATATTTAAGTTGCGCTATGACAAACGAGCAAATTAACGTGCGAATATACACAACAACTGTACACGACGACTACATATAGTCGGATCGGTGTATAATATCTGTTGTACGATCGCGAAACAGCGTTGTTTTCTTAATTTCGCCGGCGAACTGCAGTCGACGAAAATTCGTTCGATTTTTATTATAATCATTTTTTTTTTTGTTCACATTATGTATGTGTAGGTGTACCACAGGCGCGGACTGGCTAGGAAGTTCGGACGCTGCAGCATCCAATAGCCCAATCGGTATGAATCGGCCCCAGTTTACTTAAAATGTATACGTATTTTTAATAAGAACGTTGTAGTTCTGTGATAATATAATACGTATAAGGTATATCGTTTATGTCTAAGTATTGCTTACAAATAAATCGATTATAGTTAATATTCTGTTTGTAACGATTAGATATTTCATTGGTTAATTTTGAACTACAATAATATGCACTTTCTTTACATGGTCTTATTGGGGTTGCCAACCGTTCTACATCGAAGAGGATTGTCCTATGTTTGTTTGATTGGTCCCACGTCCAACAATAAGCTATACATAAAAATATGTAGTTGGACGATTATTTGTTAAAAGTCATAACTATAGTGATATATATATTCTACTGAAATTACATTTTTTTTTTTTTTTATTAAACTACCTATGGTATAAAATAAGACGAAAAAATTGTCATACACCACGCAATTTGAAAGTTGTCAACCCAAATATTTGGGCGCTATTTACAGTTTTTTTTTCTTTTTATGTGATTGACAATAAATGTCACAATTTTAATCTATCATTTTTTTTTTTTTTTTTATATTAAAATTCGTTAAAACACAAACAATTTTAATCTACTTTGTAGTTACCATATAGTATGCGATTCTCAATTAAAATTTGTCGAAACGTTTTGAACCGAACTGATTTATTATTGCGTACAGATATAAACTAAACTATGCATATCTTACATTTCCAACTTAACGCAGTTACCCGTGGTACGGAGTTTACTCGTATGTGGGATTTTTAAAATGCGTTTTATTGTTATTATCATTACATTTGTCTCAATAACTATTCGTCCTGCAATTTTGTACAGCGTCCCTTGCCATTTTTTTACCGGTCCGCGACTATAGGTACCCATCAATCAGCTATTCTACTCGAACCACGAGTATGGCACTATAGCAAATAAATTACACTATTTGTTCCGTGATCCCGAATAGTGCGGTGTAACGGTAGTCCGATTCACTCGTTCAAAACTTGTTCTGCGAACATAATATAATTGTTGCGACTGCTAATTAAAAAAAAAAAAAAAAACCAAACAAACAAACCATTCCTTCGTTTACAATGCTGCTGTTGCTTACTGCCGTGATCTTCCGAACGGACAATTCCAACGAGATAATCGTTTGCTGCACCGCTGCGCACATCGTTATAAACGACGGTGTTATCGCCGCCGTTGTTCGCGTTTCCCGTGCGAAAGCCGCGAATAATTAATATTGACATTATTCTCACTGTAATAATGTATACCGCGACTGCAACAGTCTATTTTATATTGACAAAAAAAAAAAAAAAAAAAACAACGAAATAAACGTCCGAGCGACAAACATAAATATAATGCGCAAACAAACGCCTTCTTCGGTAAACACAATGCGCAGAGGTTACCGGTAATAATACAATGTAAGTGTATAAACCGCGTGAAATGGTTAACGATTTTCGTACACCTATACCATAATATTATAACGTAAGGTAATGGTCGCGGTATTCCCGGCGGAAAGGAATTGCTGGTTATCCGCGATAGTTACACGCGATAGAAATACCGTATAATATTATAGATAAATATAAGAGCGTGCGACCAACTCATTATTATAAAGCCGCCGTGTTCAGTGGGAAATATAAATATTTCAGACGTTAAATAATACTATATAGCTGTCCCCCAGAGCCGGATTACGGTCATGGTCTTAAGGGTTCTGCATGTACTCTTGGTAAAGGCCCTTTTGCGGCCCAACAAATTGTTATTTCAAATTCAGATTTATTGATTCATACCATTCAATGTATATTTGTTTAGTTATTGCGGCAGTCGTCATATATTCTGTATCGATTGGAGTACCTACTTGTATTTTCAAAAAACAAAACGAAAGGACTTATACGGGGTGAATAGCTGAAAATGTCGATGAATCAATCAAATAAACTGCCACCGAACAAACGTTAAAAAATGTATAGGTACGAACAATTTTTTGAAAACTTATTTGAAATTTCGAAAAAAATATTCAGTTAACGTATTACCGGACATATAATATCCGTATCTTTAAAGGTACGACATGGTAAAATTGGAGCATTTTTACTAATCAAAATAGCATATACCCCGTCTTAGTAATACTAATCCCTTCTTTGTTACAGTTAAAATCTAAAAAATTGATAAAGAAAAAAAAACACGACACATTGAGGCCTCCTTCCGCAGTTCGGGGCTACAGCCCTTCAGCCCCGGAAAATAGAAAATTGGTAATCTGGTAAATAACGAACAAAAAGTGATGCTTGTTTTTAAGCCAAACACGTCAAATTAAGATGGTCCGTGATCTACTGAAAGCTCTCTTAAATGGTCCGTACTGACAAACATATTGGGAACCATTGATCCTGATAAATTTTGTGGTATCGAAATTTGTACAAGTATACTAACCATTAGAAATAATAGGTAAGATATTTAATTTATATTTATAAATAAATTATTATGTTTCATTAGGTAACCACACAACCAGCAAATTAATCGACAATCGCATGCCACGCCACCACTCTAATTTTGCTCTACTACTGTCCTCTACTTATAAAACGACAAACATAAAAGTTAAATACCTCGTCAGTGGGTTGACGAAAATTCAAAATGTCAATACCAATATTAATGTAAACTAAAACGTCATCTATTTATGGAATTTTTAATATATCTGTAATAGATTACTATTAGAATATAAAAAAAATCGATAGTGGTTTCATCCTCAGAAATAAGGGTGACAAAAAAAATAACAGGAATGTAAAACTGTAGGGCCTCTTATTTGTAAAAAACAAATGTTGAAAAAAGTTAATTTTTTCCAAGATAATAAGTGTTATGTTATGTTGACTACCCTGGAAATTTGAATAGGGGAGTAAACGATTAAAGAGAGGTTTTCTCGGGCGACACCATTTTGCGACTTTTCCAACGTTTTATCACGTACTATTACAGTAATATACTGCAGTGCGACTACGAGGGGTGAAAAAAGAACAACATTTTAAAGACGGTAAAATATAAATGATTTTAGAGCGCAGTTTAAAAAAGAAAGAGATAGTACGTATAAGTTTGGGATATAGAAAACAAAGTAAATGTATGATGGGTGTATTTATGTAAATTAAAGGGAGGGATGTGCATTTGTTTTTGTCCCGGAGCCTGAAAATCCTACACGCGTCATTGCACGCGCATCGTAGCGAGATTTCTGGTAGAAAATCGGTTCACAGCCAACGACAAAAAAAAAAAAAAAACGCGGTTAAACAAAAAACGCATTTCTCGGTTGAACCAATATATTCCTCACTGCGCTTAAAATCGAACGATAAAACTATCCGGTGAACGTGTTTTCGGACAACACCACGCCAACACTGAAAACAATTTCTGTAGTATGGATACCATACGGCGGGTATGGCCAGTATACGGGTAACAGAAACAGCGTTCCAGCCGAAATGGCATTTTGCGTATTGTAAAAACCGAGCAGCGAGTTTGTCGAACCAACCAATTATTTTGCGATACGCGTTTGTTTCTTCGCGGCGTATTATTTTACCGCCCAGAAATCGTAATTCGCATGTTGCCTGTGTGTACGAGATCCGATTTTATAATGTATGCGAACACGCGGGTTGTACATCGGAATGATACCGTCGCGTACTACCCGTTGTTCCTGAATTCGAAACGGATTCTGCCCGCGCGCGGTTTAGCCTACATTACAGCATGATAATAATTAAAATTAATACGTTTTTATAATAATCAATCCGCGGCGATGGCGTGCGCGATTTCGTTCAACGCGCTTATAATGCACGCGAATAAACTATTATTATTATTATTATAATTTAAATATAAACCGAATACTACACCCGGATAGGTAATAATTTATCGTCTCGTTTGATATATTAAGAAAAAAAAAAAAACAACGTAAACTCGTGTGTATTCAACGGTATCGACACAAACCGACGGCTCGTACGAAACACTGTACTACTATTATAGACAATATTATAAACGTAATCGAGTTTATCACGTTTTGGTGTAGTAATATATTTTTTTCTTCTAATATACGCGAGTCGATCGAGATCCGTACCTGCAGTACATACACGCCCGTTGCACGCGCCGGATACCGACCCGAAAACGATTTGTAATTTGCGACATAGCGAAACGAGCGTTTTAAATTCGGAGCTACGGCGAAACAATCGCGGTTTTATAAATGGCGCGTGTTTGCTTTTACGTCTGTTAACACCGAATTCCCCGGATCTCCGATCCGGAAAATATAAAACCCGTATCAGCCTTGCCATGCTCATCTGTTCGATGAGAATAAAACTATCGGTTTTGCTCGGCGAGGGTCGCTAATTATCGCGTAAACAAAATGGTTGTGAAAAAACCGAAGGGGACAAGACGTGAGTCATGGAGGTAGAAAAAAAAAAAAAAAAAAAAAAGTGAATTAATTAACCGACATTGTAAACTCCCCCTAAAAAGTAAAACAGTTGGATCCCCGAATGGCTAATGGTTAACTCCTCTAAAAATAATTCGCTACTGTATTATAAGTAATATATTATATATATGCTAACTCCCGGGGCAGTTCTAAACGTATAAATAATTGATAATTTTTGACGTGGGTATGTGTAACAAAATTCCCAAACAAATTAATATTTATTTCGTCAACTACCTACACGTATAATATACGTTATGTTGAATTTTTTTGTACTGGGAGTTTAACGGAGAATTTTTATTTGTTCGGTTCGATATATGTTTAAAGTTTTTTTTTTTCTAGTGATAATTATTAGAGCCTTGCGCCGATTCCTCAATTTTGTATATTTTCACTCTATTTTAAATAAAAATCGTTTTAACAAAATCCAAGGTAGCTATTTTATAAATAAATTTTAAAACACAATAAATTTGGTGCCATACATATTTATTAATAACTAATCGTTAGGTTTCTACGATTTGTTTACAGTTTACAAAAATCATTGAAAAAATTATGTTTCGTGGAAAAATTGGTGATCGATATTATTTAACAGTAGCAATCAAAATAATTTAAACTATATTGAATACTTCAACAATTTTAGAAAATTAGCGACTCATCATTAGTAATCATTTGTAACACCGATATTTAGTTTTGTTTTAAAACAAATGGATAAAGTTGCTATCTATTATTTTTAGTTTTAAAAAGTTGAAACAAAAGAATTATAGTGTAAAGTCTTGGCAATTATTACAAAAAAGAAGAATGTTGAGCAGACCAAAAGATATTTCATTTGTCATATTTCCGTGGGACACCCTGTATACTATTATTTCTATTCATAAACTAAAACGGTGATGCGAAAATGAATACTCCTTCTCTTAAATCTTTCAAGTTCTTTTATTATTACTCGGGGTCGTCCAACGTTTACGTGGTCTACCTCTACCGGTCGTTTATTTTTTTTTCGCTAATCATAGTTAAGTCAGGTTTGTTTACTTGTCAGGAAATTTAAACAAATAAACAACACATTTATTTATCACTGTGAAAAAATAAATTATATACATATTATATCTATAGGTGTATAATAACATAATACTTAAATTTTTTTTAAAAATACACCTGCCATTAAAAATTCTCTGCGAATAATATACAGTTTAAACGATTTTATTTTTTTTTTTATGTATTTATATGATTTGATTTATTTGGCTAGGAACTCGTCGAAGTACCTAGGTGTTTCACACACTTATTGATTGGAATAAAACCGTTGATATCGAGGTACGTCTACCTACGCCTGCAAAATGTACAAAAAAAAAAAAAAAAAATAACACTCGACCGCAGGAGATATATTATTTATAATAACGATCTCCCCCCATACATACTCATAGTGACAAACTGTCCTACCTATTAACGAAACGATTTTAATAAGTATATAGGTAACTTATTTCGCTCCCACGTGAGTATAGAGTAATACGAGTATATTAAATCATAATGTATACCACGTTCACTTCCATAATATAATACTCGTTTGAAATGTTTGTTTTGCTCTGAAACGGCGGCGGCGCAGTTGCATAGAGTTTATCGTTGCATATTGCTTGTAGTTTTTAACCATATCACTACAACGTTATCGTCGCCAACGACGTTTGGTTAGGTTGGGTAGACGTTTTGTCTGATCCAAAGTAGTATCCGTCCGAGACCCGAGTTCGAGAATCTTTTAATCCGAGGATTTTGGATGTGTTTAATAGATTCGAGTCCGCGATATTGAA